AGCAGGAAAGAAGAAAAGGCTCAATCCCACAGCGTGGTTGCCTGGGGGAACAATTCAGGTCACCCAGAGCAACTCATTTTTTAAACTCCGAATTTAAAGTCAAACTTCAGAAATAAATTAGACACAGAAGTCTGGGTTTGTGGAGAGGTGGCCCTGTTAGGAATTAAAATGAGAACAAAGAAAATGGGTTAGCAATAGTGGGCTTGCAGATGGGGAGTTCTTATGTCATCTCTGGACAGTATTTTAGCAGAGCAGCTGCCAGGGCGCCTGCCTGTCCCCTTGTGATCCGAGAACACCAGACAACTGCAGATGTGGCCACGCCACTCTGGGGAACACAGCAAGGGGCCTGGACACACATGAAAGGCAGAAGGACGGGAAGATGGTGGCTGAGGGCTCACACCACAGTTCTGACCGGCTATTGTAGATGTGCCTTTTCATCCAGCTTGTACAGCAAGAACATGGTCAGTGTGCTGTGGAACAACGTACTGGAAATAAGCTTCCCTAAGAAGTAAAAGGCAGATTGCTTCTCAGATGCCAAATGCTAGGTTTTGACAGTAACCAAAGTGTCGATTATTATTGGCAGGCTACGGGGTCAGAGGGGAAAGCACTGAGAAGGTCTTTACTGAAGATTCAGCAAACCGAGGGTGACATTATTTTAGCATGCGTGCATTTCACAGACAAAGCAAAGACATACTAGGGTGACTTCTTCCGTGATAGTTACTGAATGCTTACCAAGGGCCAGGCACACTTGCAGGCCCTGGGGTCAAACAATGAACAGTAAGCACCATAATATAAAGTGACGATGAATGCAGGGCTTCACACCAAAACCAAATAAAATAGAAAACCAGTGAAGAGGCAGCACAAGCTGACTGGCTGCAGGACAGCAGTCCAGGTCGGCGCCATGTGTTCACGCTGAAGGCCCACACCTGTGTTGCTCTCACCTGGCTCCGCAGGAGGAGATGTCATGGCTTCAGCAGAGCCTGGGTGGCGGCAGGGGATGGATCGCATGGTGATAAATTACTAGATGGCCCTGGAGCCCACAGGCATTGTGAAGACTCATTATGAGAAATGCCAGTTTCCTAGAGCTTAGTTAAAACAAAAAAAAAAAACTGCACTTTACTTGAACTTCTCTTTACAATTATTTTGTATCGCGCGTGTATGGGTGTTTTCCACCAAACGTTCAGTTAGTTTTTTTCTTTTGAAATATGCCTGTTGTGGTTTATGCTTCTCTTTGTATCCAAAGACAACCTTGAATCTGTAAGGCGACAAAGTAAGACGGGGTCTCCAGAGCAGCAGCCACCAGACAGCTGGCCTTACTTGGCCAGTCTGGGGAGCAAGGCAGGGGGATCATTCAAACCAGTCATTTGACAGAACTGAACCGGGTCACTTCAGTCAAGATGGAAATGCTAATAAGCTCTAGGTAGACACCTTGCGTTTGACAGTAAAATAGAGTTGGCAGCCTCTGGGCTGGGCGTATTCTATGGAGGATAGAGGGCGCCCCTTCGGCAGTGGCAGGGATCTAGGACAGAGTGACTCCCTGCGGCTGGTGAGGAGGGGCCCAGAGAACAGAAGGCCCCTGTGGGCTCGAAGGAAGAGGGTGCACCCATCTCCCCAGCACGCATCACGCCCACATTGACTCGGAGCGTGTCCTCTTGCTTTAACCCCTACCTTAGTTCAGTGCGAGATGGAGCTACACCAAAACCAAACCCGCTGCCGTTGACTCGATTCCGACTCAAAGCAACCTTATAGGACAGAGTAAAACTGCCCCGTAAGGTTTCCCAGGCTGTAATCTTTATGGAAGCAGACTGTCACAACTGTCTCCCGCGGAGCCGCTGGTGGGTTCAAACCACAGAACTTTTTGGTCAGCAGCTGAGTGCTTTTAACCACTGCACCACCAGGGCTCCTTGAGCTGGGGCTATACACATAATAAATTACCCTGTGTGAAACCATCTTCCTACAGGTTGAGTCATTAAAAAGTCATGATCAGTGAGTGTCGCACACACATTGGGAAATAGACTTTAAATATTACCTTTTCTCTTTTTCTTTTTTCTAAAGGCATCAGATTGGTTTTCATATTATTTCTCTGGCATGAATTCTAAATCTCTTGGTTTCATTCATTGTTCTCTCTTGGAAATCCCCAAGTAACCATGGCTTACACTGGGAAGACAAGTCGTCCTCTGATTCTAGCTTAGGAAATGGGGGTGGGGAGTGCCAGCCCACTTCTTGAGGAGGATTCCCAGCTCACCAGAGCCCAGGTTTGGCCCCCCCTAATCCTGCACTGCACTCTGACCTATCTGCGGAAGTGAGAATGGGGTTTGGGTCAATATCATCTGAGCACCCCTCTCCACTCCCAGAGGGCAAGGACTCGTGTCTTTCTCTGTCATGTAGTTTCCAAGCACTACATGACAGGCACTCAGTTGACTCTTCTGTGGAATATAATTAGTTCCAACAGTTGCTTACACAGCTTTTGTCGTGGTCAAAACTAATCTGAATAGCCACATCAGCAGCGGCAGGTAACAGGACTGAATGCTCCCTAAATTATGATCCCCCATTCCACGGCCCAATTTTTATGAACTAGTTTTGAAACATTTATAACTAAGAGACCATGTACACCAAATTCCCTCCCAGCAAACAGGGTTTTGCATAAAAATGCCTTTATACATGTTACAAAAATTGTCTGCAGCTAAAGATTTGGAGGTCACAGCATGTATGGCTTCACCAGGGACTTCCTAGAGGCACTAGGCCCACATCCGTTTTTGTTCCAGCTTCATCCACTGCATGGCTGAAACAATGTCCAGTAAAGAGATTCTGGCACAAATGAGCCTCTCCGTTCCCGGACAGGGAAGAGATGGCTCTCTGGCCATGTCCTAACACCATACTGTCCTTAGTTAAAAGACACAAAAAAATGCCTGGAATACAGATTGTTTTCAGACTTAAAGCATCAAAACAAAATCATTATTATTAATATGTGACCAGGGCTCTGATCTGTGGTCAAGACGAGGCACAAATCTTTACATGGAGTTTCTACATTTTTAGCAACAGAAATTTTTTCTCCAAAAACTGAAGTCATAAGCGGTGGCTAGGCCAGTAAATAAGAAGACAAGTCACATTGAAGAACATGATATATTTAAACTTACTTTTTATTATCATTTTTTTTCCAGTTACCCAGCATGCCTCAATCTGATTGCTGACCTGGATGAAACAGAGTGAAGTCAATGATTTACAGAGATATTTACAGACATCTGCTTTTAATATGCCACAGTCCACCACAACCATTCCAGTGTGACGTGCCTCTGACTGCGGTGGTGCTGGTGCCACGGCCGCCACGTGGCCTCCGAGTGCTGCCTGCACTACGTACAGAAGGGCTGGGGCTGAAGGTCGATACTCGATGATGAGCGCTAGCTCCTTGTGTACGTTTTCAGAAATGATCTGCAGTTTATGATGCCCATTTGTATGCTGTTACACGTATGAATTTCAATAAATTTTTTAAAGACTTGAATTATGTTTTCTTTTTATCTTGGAGTGATAATAACAGGACACACCAAAAAGGCACACAGTTTACTTAGACCAAAGTGTAGTAAGGACCAAATCAAGTTTTTTCCTGCCATTGATTTTGCTTCCCTTTTCGTGATCTATTATCCTCCTCCAACTTTATCTGCCTCTCATCAACATCCCATACTCCATTGTTATTATCCTACTAGGATGTGCACAGTAAGGAGACACTGGGGAGCACCAGGGATTATTCTCTCCACTCCATCAACAAAAAAAAAATTTTAAAAAGAGCATCATCTTTGGCTCTGTGGTGTCGGATTTCTTCTTCAATATGCAGTATTCGAGAAGAGCCTAAAAACATGTACTTAATGAAATTAGAAAATTTACTTAAGTATCTCAAGTATCTGTACAAAGATCGTATTTTAGTTTAAAACAGTATTTCTCCTATATGGAGTTAAGCCCAGAAATGCCTTAAAGGAATAAAAATGGACACTGAAAATGCTGTGTTGTCTTTGAGCATGACAATAGAAGACTAAAGGCAAGGCTGTCATTGGGACACGTCACTGACCGCAGGCGACTGTCCCTGGCCAGCGATCTGTCATCAGCAGCAGCAGTATTATTATTTCGACATAGATCTGATGTGACCATATGCTCAAGCTTGCCTCTCAAAATCCACGTGGCTTAGGCTCAGGAGGTGGTGGCATGATAACACAGAGCCCATCTGAGTCTCCAGAGCATGGAAAACGTTCAAGCCTGAAACAGGAGAACTCTACAGATTCAGAAGTTTTTGACTTCATCAAATGTGCCAGACATAAAGACTGTCACATAAGATATTTTAATTGTCCTTAATTCTGCTCTAGGAATACTGTGAATAAATTATACAATATTCTAAAAATAGCACCTTTGAAGAACTGTAGAGGTCACTTTATTTTAGCCTCCTGGAACTGTCCCCCCAGTGGTTCTGAGAGAACAGCACATGAAGAACGACCTCAGGTCTGGCTGCCTGACACACACACGCCTGGCTAAGTCGGGTCCTGAAAGCCATTTCTTCGCCTGCCTTCATCACAGGAGTGAAGCCAAGTTTCTAAAATAGTAGGTTACATTGGTATATGAGGTACAATCAGAAAAAGGCCCCATCCAAAAGGATTCTAGGTCAGCTTGTAGTGCACTCATCATACTCATCTATTCCCCATGTCTCAGTTTGTCAATTTGCCATCAAGTTTTTAAAATACACTCGAAGGAAGGAAGTGTGCAGAGCAGTACATTATCAGGAAGACGTTACTGATGAGCTATACTCCTTAAGAATTCTGGTCCAAACCATCTGATGGGAGGATTACTCGGGTCTGAACAAATCTTCAACAAGACCTGTTCCCCACCCCGGCTTCACAGATCTGCCCTGAACCCAGTGTGGAGGGGTCAACGTTCGTACCACCACACTAGTGCCATGTCACTGAAGTAATAAAACAATCCCGGGTGTGTGTTTAGAGCAACAAGGAATTTACGTATTTTCATATCATTTGACAGAGGGTGGGTTAATAACCAGGTCAGGCTATCAAAAATCTTTTTTCTTCCCAGTAAAGAATAATATTTAATTTTCTGAGATTACAGAACCACGTCCAACAACAAGAAACAGAGAAGTCGCAGATTGACATAGTGCTTTATTTCAGCTGTCTGTACGAAGGAAAATAATGTGATCCCTATCATATACGTGTAAAAATACTAAGGATGTACAGTGTACAAAAACAGTTTCTTGTAGTTATTTCACATCCTTGTGGGTCATATACTCAAGGAAATAAACAGTTTTAGTATGACCAATAGTAATAGTAATACAGTTTCTTGGGTTCATAGTTGCGTCTGCTTAAAATCCTTAACCAGATAACTAGATCTTGCACGGATCTAATGAAAGAACTAGCAAGGTCAAGAAATGTCACAAACTATAAAGCTACAGGGAGGTAATTCAATTACCAATTTAGACGTTTTCTTTTTTATTTAAATAAATAACTTTACATTTCATGCTTGCCTGTAATGCACTATCAGGAGCAAGATAAGGAAATTCTACCGTAGACAGTACAAACAGTAGCAGCAAAGTGTGTACATTGAGGTGTAATATATAGACCCTGCAGTTAGTAAGGAAGGCCCTTACTTTTGTACTCTAGGATAAGCAAGTGGCCCCTGCAAGAACAGTCAGCTTTAAGAAGCCGGAAATCAGGTATGGGGAAATGGAAAACAATACTGGAATAACGCTACATAATTAGTGTAGAAAGCAAAGCTGTGAGCAACCCTGTCGAAAATCCAAGCAGAAATGGCCAGTTCCTCCAAGATGGCTGTGTGATTACAAGAGGGCAAACTCAATGAAAGTTAGTACAAGCTGGAGTCCGCAAAGTTTGAACTGTATTCTGATGGAATGATTCCAGGTTTCAGGCCTTTCCACCTGCCAGAATCCACAACTACAGCTATGGGCAAATTACAAGGGAAGTTTTAGAAATCCCCCTCTACACACATTTTTGTTTTTCTATTGTTCCTCCACGCCAGCTGATTGAGATCTGGGAGTGAAAGCAAGGGATTCTCAGAATCTAAGCCAAGAGAGCACTTGTGTGATGCTCACAGGCTCTTCAAGGAGACAAGTGCCTGACCCCCAGGCCTTGGCTGGGGATGGAGAGCCAGCTGTGAGGAGTGGCTAGCCTGGGGCGCTGTCAGCACCAGTCATTAATCTTAGGAAGTATCCTTTGCCATGGTCATGGGATCACCTTAAGATTACTTAAAAAAAAAAAAAAAAAAAATCAAAAGCTACGTGCTCAGTGTGTGGTGTTACACTTTCCCTACGAAGGAACGAACGCTCTGATCATCAGCCAGTCTCAGCTTTCCTCTTGTCCTCTTATCCGTTTCTTTCTTATAGAATGGATGCAAGACAACTTACAGGACATACCTTCTAGTCTACTTTCTTGTCAAAGTGAAACATTCAACATAATTCCAAGTTTAAAAAAAAAAGTTGAGCTATATGTGTAAGAGTGAACTACCACTTACTGTAACTTCCCACTCAATATTAAGGATGAACTTCACTCAGATAAACATATGAAAAATTAGGACAAAAATCTATGTCTGAATATGTCTTAGCTGCCTTAATAAAATGCCCTTTAACTCCCCTGTCAGTCCCAGTGGCCTGCCCACCGCCAGCAGTGGTTTCATATCTATAAACCCACACTTCCAGCGTCAAGAGGCTAAGACATCTGCATATGAATATGATTCATCCTACTTAAAAAGTCACTTGCTCTTTCATACAATGCAATCATAATACTACGTAATGCTGTAGTCTTCCATTTTGGGAGCTGTCAGATAGCTGAACTAAAACACATTTCCATGATCACTCCAGCGAGTCCGGGTTGCCGCCTGCTTGCTGCAAGAATGGCCCCCCAGCCCCTTGGACTTCATAGGCTGCTTTGGAAAATGTCAGCTCCTAGCACCAAAGGGTTTAATCTGAAGATCATCATTAATGAAGGAGAAAGATGAGGTTTGCATACATGTCCCCTGTCAGTGAGAAATGTTGGAATTGGGGGACATGAGTATATACAGAAAAAGGAAAGTTGGAGGTGTTCTTTTTTTGTTGTTTTTTCCCTGATGGCTTAATTCAGTGGTAAGTGTACCATGATCAGAATAAACACACCAGGTTCCAATCCTTTACTGCCTACTTGGTGAATACTCGAGATGTGTTCATTTTGCCAAGTACAGTTCATTTCTCATCATTGTTCAGGTCTCATTTTCTTCATCACACTGTGCTGCCAGGCCTGCCTAAATGTACCAACTCTCAAGTGAGCACATCAACATCCATTTGTTTCATTAACCCCTTGGCATGGAGAGGTGGGGATTTTCAGCACCAAGGGGTTAAATGACAGCATCTCTTCTCCCAAAGCCGAATTCTAACCAATATGTACAATTTCAGAGCCTTATCAAGATTTTTGTTACATAGGAGAAAAAGTGCCTGATTCTCAGCGGCTTGTACATTCCTTGCACACGGGTCAGAATGAGCTGCATGCAGTCTACCTTCTGTAAGTTGGAGCTGCATCTGCTAACATGACATACAATCCTCATCACTAAAAAATAAATACTACTGCAAAACAAACAAAACCATAAAAGGATATTCAAAGTTTTAACATCTGAGAGAAAGCTAATTCACGTAAAACTAAAAGTAGAAAATTAAAACAAATAAGGCAAACACCTGTTTACCTTGGTGTACAAATTTTGGTGAAAAGCAGGATCGTTATACCTGTCTACATTCTTCAGCCATCAGAGGTGATAAATATCAAGAAGGGAGAAAAGTTTCCAAGCACAGGGGAAAAAATGCTCTCTGGCGAGAATCGTATCATGAGACCCTTTCCGTGACTTTAACTCTGCTGTGCACATGCCTTCATTTCTTGGTAGAACGTTCATTTGTCCGCGATTGCCCGTGAAGTCTAGACGTCCATGTGTGACACAGGCTTCCTCTGCAGTATCCAACAGGAATTAAAAATATATATATACATAGATATCTTTATCAACAGTTGTCCAGTCCTTTTCTCAAGTGCTGCCTAATGAATTCCAGCCAGATCTTAGTGATCAATCCCTACTTTATGGACTGAACTGATTGGCTTCACTAACATTCTGCATATGCACATCACCACCCATCCACATCGCTTAGAATTACACACTAAATCTTCTTAGTCTAATTAGTTTTTGATTTATCTTCTAGAAAGTTTAAAAATCTACCTAGAATCAATGTCTCTCTGCCAGCCTTCACTGTTAGGGAAACAAAACCTAAAAGATCAAAAGATGACAACTGGTGCACAAATGAACAATGGTGGACTCATGACTTCGGAAGATTGTAAAATTACCTCTTAAAGTTGCTATAATAGTAAGACAGTAGCAGCAACAGCATGAGACCTTAGACTGAGATACAATTTCATGCAAAAACAGAAAGTCGAGTGTGTTTGCATATATGTGTGTTTTCATGTATGTGAAAGGTGGTTAGCGGTGAAGACCCTTGATTGGTCCGGGGCGTCTGAAGGTGCTCCTGCTATCTGTAAGAGCTAGGACTGGTGGCGATGTCCAGGAATCATTTTCAGTAATAAGTCTAAGATGACAGTGAAGTAGCAGAATGAAAGAGAATTATTCTCGTCCACTTGCAGAGTAGGAAAACTGAGGGAAATGCGGCCGCCTCTCATTGTCCATGCAGTCCATACCATCCTCATCATCTGTGGGCAGGAAACAGCTATTTTAATTTTACATAGTTTTTGTTAATATTACCTCTGGTCCACATTTTTCTACCTACTAACATAGGAAAGATTAACAGAGACAGTAACTCCCATAAACTTGTGTTTATCAATAGAACATACAGCAATTACGGTTATTTTAAAAATGTCTAATTTTCATAAATGTGTGTGGTCTGTGAGAAAACACTATCAAATCATCTCTTTCAAGACGCTAAAATTTCAAGACTTAATGAAAATGGGGAAAAATACTGAAAACAGGATTTTGTTTTAAGAAGGAACAAACCATCTTCGACAGCCTTTCATTTCATGAAATTACAATTTGTTGAAATTACAGAAGTCCTGGATGCTAAGGCACCAAAAGTGTGTATACATAATTCATTGTTAAATGTCTTCAAATGCTTTTACTTCATGGCGTTTTAGATATAAATGCAAAATCAAGGTTCTGATGGCCCCATTTCATCTGTGTCCTTGATTGCATTTTCAAGATCTTATCGTCTTTATTCAACATCTACTATCTGCCTTAGCTCCCTGTCCCCGATTTTCCAACGATAAAACTTGATGGGACAGAGGGCAAGTAAAAGTGGGAGGGATGTCAGCGTGGAAGTCCTAGTTCATCAGGAAACAAGCAGGGAGAACAGACGTGAAGGGATAGGAGAGGCTGTTGACAATGAAGCTGCTGCTCCTTTCTTCTTTCCTGTTTTCCTGTACTTAACAGATTAGAAGCGATCGCCCAACCTTTTCCCACAACAGCTCTGCTGATTAAAAGCTCATTGTCAGGATGCCCTTCCTCACAGGTGGTGGTCATCTGTTCAGTCCCTCATCAACAGAAGCTCTGCAAACTCAGCCCCAGGGGCACAGCTCTGAGCAAAGTCCCTGCTGCCCTCCAGGGCTCACTTTCTCATGGGGAAGAGGCTCTGTTTTTTGTATCTCTCCTGCTCCACTCCAAGCTCATCCACCTGTTCACTGTCCTAACAGCAGAAATAAAGGAAAAGGTCTTTCAAATACCCAACCTTCTTTTCTTCAAGCAAAAAATTCCATTTCCTCAAATATATACAGGAAATACATTAACCAAATCTTTCAACTTTCCAACCTCTCCAACAAGCACCAATCTCATGCAATGGGAGGAAAAATACAGGCCAGATCTTGCTATTCCGTGGATACTGACTCAGTCACACAACAAAGATGGTGCTTTTGTGTTTGTCTGAAGTGTAAGAAACAAACATTTCTTTTTCTTTGATGACTGTTCTTCTATTTGCTATTCTAGTCTTAATACAAAAGTTTCTAAGAAACGTGATCAACCAAAATTTGTGGCCTCTGATGTATCAAAAATAGCACTGAATTAGGTGGGAATCAATCAACCAAAAAGCATTTGTGGCTCCCTGCTTCCAAAAAACCACTGAATCACAAGGCGTCTCTCCTTCCACAAGTAGAACACAGCAACTGTAGCAGGCATTTCTGCATAGTACTGAGTTCTAGGGAAATCTCCACCGCATTATAAAATATTGGTTCTGTACCAGGTAAACCTCATGCATCTTTTAGATCAAATACCTTCAGTATTATTAGCTATACTAAAGACAGTAGGAGCTAGGAGACCACGGCATATCAGCTGAGTCACAACATATAAACACTCTCTAGAAATCTAGAAAAGGCAGCTGAAACCTTAATGTTCAGATTCTGACATGTGTCAATCACATTTCAAAGAAACAGTTTTCACCATTAATGGCTTTGTTTTGCTGTGTTTCCGCCCCACAAACGTGCAGAGCCCAGGACAGCACGTGTGGGGAAGCCTCATGCTTGTCCCTTGTCCTGCCTCAGCCAGTGGGAGGGATGCTGCCCGGCTCCCTGGGTGACCCAGCCCAGGCCTTGCCCAGCCAGTCAGGCTCTTGGTAGGGGGGCTTCTGGATTTCCTTTCGCAGGAGGAGTACTGATTGCTTTGAGGATGGATGGCAGCTGAAAATTAAGAGTCTTCATTCTGTCAGTAAATTAATCATATTTCTGAATATAAAAAAATTCAAATTTCATAAATAACCATGTGAAGACCCCACATCACGATATTCTTTTAAAGCCAATATAGCACTCTTTCACTTCAGCTCCCTGCCTTTTCCTTCTTTCTTGGTAATAAAAAACCAAAATCCACTGCTGTCTAGTCGATTCCAACTCACAGTGACTCCACAGGGTTTCCAAGACTGTAAATTTTTACAGAAGCAGACTGCCACATCTTTCTCCCATGGAAACTGCTTGGTAGTGGTGAGGGGCAAGTATAGGATCCCCATCCAAAATGGAGCCATGAGCCTGGGAGAGGCACTGGGGCAAGCCCCCAGCAGGCCCCTCTGGGTCCACATAGACCCACAGAGGGACAGGGTTGGGAGAAGCCCACCGTGAGTGACACCTGACCCTGTAGCACCTGTCAGCGTACACACAGGTAAGTCCCTGCTCTGAAAGGATACTCACAGAGAACAATGATGATAACGAAGAGAACTCTGTCTGAAAACACATATGGAAAAACAATGATCGACTCGATGTCTGAACCCCTGGGTCCAAGTAGCATCAGTTAACAAATTTTCTTAGCGCATTTAACAAAGGTAATCATATGGCAGTAAAGCTACCACATCTCAAAGAAGTCCTATTTTTCTGTAACAAAACCCACTGCTGTCAAGTCGATTTCAACTCATAGTGACCCTACAAGACAGAGTAAACCACTGGGTTGCCAAGGCTGTAAATCTTTACAGAAGCAGACTGCCATATCTTTCTCCCGCAAGAGGAAGGCAGCGGACCATTAATGGATATAACACAAGACGACGCATTCCAAAAACCGTTCAATTAATTAACACCAGTGAGGACAATCTGCCATGCTACTGCAGCTGTTTGTAGAAAATGGAACATTTTGCCTTCCTAACTGCTGATTTGTTCTAAAAAAAAAAAATCTCCATTCTGTTTTATAAAAGCAAGGTGGCAAGTGGGAAGACAATTGCTAACTAATGTTACTACTGTGGACTTTTATTAACCAAACCTCTGTTTTAGCAGTTAGGGAGCGGCAGTGGTTTCTAACCAGCACCATTATTCAAGCTGCAAGAAGAAAAGATCATGTTAAATGGAATCACGGTTTCACTGATTCTCCTTTAATCTGCCCCTTAAGGGAATCTGGGCTATATCCGGGGACTGTCAAACTAAAAACACTGCCCCTTTGCCCTGGAGAAACCCAGGAGCTGTGGTTAATAATCCCTGAGGCTGTTCTACAATAGGGCACTCTGGGCCCCACGTGCTCAGCTGACCTGGAGAGGCAGTGGGAGAGTTCCCAGGACGGCACAGCAGACTGTTTGCCGCTGGACGGGGCGTTCTGCAGAGATGCTGCTGCCCATTTCTGTCCTCACACACGCTGCTGATCTCTTTGATCTGGCTGCCCCATCCAGAGATCCTGAGTAGGGAGAGATAGCAAGCCCATACTATCCTCCCCACCCTGGACTGTGGAATGCCCTGTTAGACACAGATGCACTGCAGGATGCTCAGGTTTCTGAGCCATCCAGAGCCCAGCACACGCCCCACTTCATACTTCCCCAGGCCTACAATTGTATTCACAGGGAACAGCCACCATGGAAATTCCCACAATGTGTGGGCTTCCTACTGGAGTCCCTGGTCCAATCTAACAACTCATGGTGTTGCCCAGCATTTCAGACAACTACATACCTATAGTCCATGCTGCGGTCAGAGGAACTATGCCAAGGCCTGTGTCCATAGTTTCTACTCAGACAGCCCATAAGCACTTGTCCACAACTCCAAAGGCTTTCTAACATTGTCATTTAACAATTAGAGATCCTAAGATTCTATCCACGGCACATAAGACCGAGCGGAGGCTCACTGCCCCATGGGTGATGTACTGTGAGGAGCACTTCAGCACACTGATATTTTGCAGCTTCACCTGCCAAGACGATGAGTCCTGCTCCTAGCTATGATGCCACTGGCTGTGGGACCTGGAGCAGCTCAAGCTTTTCTGTGGATTTCAATCTCTTCACTTATAACATGGAAGTTCAAAGGTTCTTAATTTCTTGTGAATCTAAAGAGATGTACAGACTTCCATCCAGAAAAGGGCATATAATATTTTAATATTAGTTAATATAATAAAATAATATCTTTAAATTCAGAATGTTCACTGTCACAGAGTGTTTTTAATTTCAGACTGTTCACAAGCCATGGGCCCCAGATGAAGAACTCTGGGCCTAGATGACTCCTAGTTCGCATCCACAAATCCGCTGACCACGTCTACAGCTGGAACAGTACTTCACTTTCATCTCTTCTCACAGACACCCAGTGTACATGAGCACTGTCAACTAACCTGCCTTTGAAAAAGGAAGGAGGAGAGAGGAAAAACAGCAAAGGAAATAAAGGAAAAGGAAGAAAAACTAACACAATGCTACTGTGCGAGTCAAAATATGTGTGACTTGAAGAATATTTTTAGCCATCCAGATACCACCCTCCCCCACACGTCTGTCAGTCATACTGCGGGGGCTTGTGTGTTGCTGTGATGCTGGTAGCTATGCTACCGGTATTCAAATACCAGCAGGGTCACCCATGGTAGACAGGTTTCAGCTGAGCTTCCAGACTAAGACAGACTAGGAAAAGGACCCAGCAGTCTACTTCTGAAAAGAATTAGCCAGTGAAAACCTTACGAACAACAGTGGAACACTGTCTGATATAGTGCCGGAAGATGAGCCTCTCAGGTTGGAAGGCATTCAAAAGGCGACTGGCGAAGAGCTGCCTCCTCAGAGTAGAGTCAACCTTAATGACGTGGATGGAGTTAAGCTTTCGGGACCTTCATTTGCTGATGTTGCACAACTCAAAATGAGAAGAAACAGCTGCAAACATCCATTAATAATTAGAACCTGGAATGCACGAAGTATGAATCTAGCAAAATTGGAAACCATCAAAAATGAAATGGAACGCACAAACATTTATTCCCTAGGCATTAGTGGGCTTAAATGGACTGGTGTTGGTCATTTTGAACTGGACAATCATATGGTCTACTATGCCAGGAATGACAACTTGAAGAGGCATGGTGTTGCATTCGTTGTCAAAAAGAATATTTCAAGATCTAACCTGAAGTACAATGCTGTCAGTAACAGGATAATATCCATACGCCTACAAGGAAGACCAGTAAATACGACTATTACTCAAGTTTACCCACCAATCACTAAGGCCACAGATGAAGAAATGGAAGATTTTTACCAACTTCTGCAGCCTGAAATTGATCGAACATGCAATCAGGATGCACTAATAATTACTGGTGATTTGAATGCAAAAGCTGGAAACAAAGAAGAAGGATCGGTAGTTGGAAAATATGGCCTTGGTGATAGAAACGATGCCGGAGATCACTTGATTGAATTTTGCAAGACCAATGACTTCTTCATTGCAATACCTTTTTTCACCAACATAAATGGCGACTATACACATGGACCTCACCAGATGAAATACATAGGAATCAAATTGACTACATCTGTGGAAAGAGATGATGGAAAAGCTCAATATCATCAGTCAGAACAAGGCCAGGGGCCGACTGTGGATAGGACCATCAATTACTCATATGTAAGTTCAAGTAGAAACTGAAGAAAATTAGAACAAGTCCACAAAACCCAAAGTACGGCCTTGACTATATCCCACCTGAATTTAGAGACCATCTCAAGAATAGATTTGACGCACTGAACACTAATGGCCTAAGACCAGACGAGTTGTGGAATAACATCAAGGACATCATACATGAAGAAAGCAAGAGGTCATTAAAAAGACAGGAGAGAAATAAAAGGCCTAAATGGATGTCAGAAGAGACTGTGAAACTTGCTCTTGAATGTCGAGTAGCTAAAACAAAAGAAAAAAATGATGATGCTGTAAAAGAGCTGAACAGAAGATTTCAAAGGGCAGCTCGAGAAGACAAAGTATTATGATGACATGTGCAAAGAGCTGGAGATAGAAAACCAAAAGGGAAGAACACGCTCAGCATTTCTGAAGCTGAAAAAACTGAAGGAAAAATCCAAGCCTCCAGTTGTGATAGTGAAGGATTCCATGGGGAAAATATTAAATGGCGCGGGAAGCATCAAAAGAAGATGGAGGGAATACACAGTCACTATACCAAAAAGAACTGGTCGATGTTCAACCATTTCAGGAGGTAACATATGATTCCAGAACCGATGGTACTGAAGGAAGAAGTCCAAGCCGCACTGAAGGCACTGGGAAAAAACAAGTCTCCGGGAACTGATGGAATACTAATTGAGATGTTTCCACAAACAGATGCAGCGCTGGAAGTGCTCACTCATCTGTGCCAAGAAATTTGGAAGACAGCTACCTGGCCAACTGACTGGAAGAGATCCACGTTTACGCCTATTCCCAAGAAAGGTGATCCAACCGAATGCGGGAATTATTGAAAAGTATTATTAATATCACATGCAAGCAAAATTTTGTTGAAGATCATTCAAAAGCAGCTGCAGCAGTATATCAACAGGGAACTGCCAGAAATTCAAGTCAGACTTAGAAGAGGACGTGGAACCAGGGATATCACTGCTGACGTTAGATGGATCCTGGCTGAAAGCATAGAATACCAGAAAGACGTCTACCTGTGTTTTACTGACTATGCTAAGTCATTTGACTGTGTGGATCCTAACAAATTACGGATAACACTGCAGAGAATGGGAGTTCCAGGACACTTAATTGTGCTCATGAGTAATCTGTGTGTGGATCAAAAGGCAGTCGTTAGAACAGAACACAGGGATACTGCATGGTTTAAAGTCAGGAAAGGTGTGTGTCAGGGTAGTATCCTTTCACCATACCTATTCAATCTGTATGCTGAGCAAACAATGCGAGAAGCTAGACTATATGAAGAAGAACAGGGCATCAGGATTGGAGGAAGACTCGTTAACAACCTGCATTATGCAGATGATACAACCTTGCCTGCTGAAAGTGAAGAGGACTTGAAGCACTTGCTGATGAAGATCAAAGACCACAGCCTTCAATATGGATTACATCTCAACGTAAAGAAAATAAAATCCTCACAACTGGACCAGTAAGCAACATCATGATAAGCAGAGAAAAGACTGAAGTTGTCAAGGATTTCATTTTACTTGGATTCACAATCAACACCCATGGAAGCAGCAGTCAAGAAATCAAACAATGCAGTGTATTGGGCAAATCGGCTGCAAGAGATCTCTTTAAAGTGTTAAAAAGCAAAGATGTCACCTTGAGGACTAAGGTGTGCCTGACCCAAACCATGGTGTTTTCAATCACCTCATATGCATGCGAAAGCTGGACAATGAATAACGAAGACCCAAGAAGAATTGACGCCTTTGAATTGTGGTGTTGGCGAAGAATACTGAATATACCACGGACTGCCGAAAGAACAAATAAATCTGTCTTGCAAGAAGTACAACCAGAATGCTCCTTAGAAGCAAGGACGGAGAGACTACATCTCATACTTTGGACACGTTATCAGGAGGGATCAGTCCCTGGAAATGGACATCATGCTTGCTAAAGTAGAGGGTCAGCAAAAAAGAGGAAGACCTTCAACGAGATGGACTGACACAGGGGCTGCAACAATGGATTCAAGCATAGCAACAATTGTGAGGATGGTGCAGGACTGAGCAGCATTTTGTTCTGTTGTGCATAGGGTCGCTATGAGTCGGAACCAACTTGATAGCATTTAACAACAAATACCACCCTAAATCTCAATCTTCTCCTCCTTCCTCATTAAGACTAGGAGGCTGGTATATATGGTATTGGACTTCCCAGTCAGCAGTCTAAACACAGACCCTTGAGAACCAACACTTGTCAGCAAATGAGAATGCTTATAAATTTTATCTAATAACGTTACTTGTCCATTACTGTTCACTTATTTAGGGTATTTCTGAAAGTGTGGGACATATACTAGTGTACATGCAATGATGATTTTAAGAGGTACATGAAAATACAGTTTTAACAGATATGCAATATATATATATGTATATGTGTATACACACACACACACACACACACACACACACATTGGAGCCCTGCTGGTGCAGTGGTTAAGAGCTTGGCTGCTAATCAAAAGGTCAGCAGTTCAAATCCA